AAAGTTTATAGAAAATGATAATAGGGTATTTTGAAGAGGTAATTAATATAGATAATTATTAGAGACAATAGAGATTACTAATGACATACAATTGTTGAACGTTTTCTTTGGAACCACAAAATATATTTAGAAACAGGTTTTAAATGAAATAGGAATTGTTATATACTTTTAAGATCTTTTCCAAAAATATAATTGTGAATAAAGTTTCCTGAAATTTTAAAAAAATACCTTTTACAACAACTTCTATAATGTTTACAATAACGTTTTTGGAAAAAGATAATAGAGATATTTTGTAGAAATTATTAATATAAATAACTATAAGAGATAATAGATATAATTAATGACATTCAATTGATGGACGTTTTGTTTTGAGCCAAAAAATGTTAAAAACAAATTTTAAATGAAGTATGAATAGTTAAATACCTTTAAGAACTTTTCAAAAAACATAATTATCAATAAATTTTTCTAAAATTGTTAAAAAGTTTTTTTTACAACAACTGTAATAATGTATATAATAACGTTTTTAGAAAATCGATAATAGAGATATATTATAAAGATAATTAATATAGATAATTAATATCGATAATTAATATCGATAATTAATATCGATAATTAATATAGATAATTAATATAGATAATTATTAAAGTTAATAGAGATATTCAATGTCATTCAATTGCTGAACGTCGTGTTTAGAACCCCAATAAAAATATTTAGAGACAGGTTAGTTTTTAAATGAGTTACTTATAAAAACTTTTCAGAAAATACAAGTGTGAATAAATTTTTCTAAAATTGTAAAATATACCTTATACAGCAACTGCAATAATGTTTACAATAACGTTTTTAGCAATAGATAATAGAACGATTTTGCAAAGTGTTATGGTTTCTCATAATTCTAACGCTCATGCTATTGGGCAGCAACCGCATCACAACCGACATCACAACCGCAAAAATGCCCCTATAAAATTGCAGAATGACTAAGGGGTAGAAAATAAGGCTAGAGTAATGGTTAATGTTAGACAAATGCTATGCAAAATCTCTCTATTAATTTAAATTACGACACTAAAAATTAAATGCTTTAAAATGCTAATTGTCAAAATTTGACTTGAATATAAGAAAAACACAATATTCGAAATTAAATATTTCAGTGATAAGTGATTCCGATTCAATTTCTTTGGATACAGATTTCAAAAATTGGTTTTCAACTCATATGATTTGCTTAATACTTTTAATAAATTAGTCGGTTATAGCAAAGAATGAAAATGAATGGGAACATGCCTGATACACTGTAAATAATTTAGGATCAAATATGGATTTTGCGTTAAAAAGTACCGGCATTCTGTGTTGCCAGAACTTTTTCTTCTCCATAAAATCCAGTTTTATCGGAACATATTACGGAACAAAGTATCTGATATACCGTAATTTTTACAGTAATATTTACAGTAAAATCACTGAATCACTTTAATTAAATGAATATTTACGAAAAATTACGGAATAATATTTTACGGTAAAAATGGATTTTACGGATGATGGACCTAAAGTGCCGGTGCATTGTAACTTGATCCAGAATTTTTTACGGTGCAGTAGGACTGAAATCATTTTACGTGACAAAAAATCAAAAGAATTGATGAAGATTAAATTTCAATTTTTTAAGTTATATATTTTTACTAAACCATCTAAAAAGTATAATAGTAAGCTTTATTTTGTGATTAAATGCATGAAAATAGCAGAAAAATTTGAATGAAATTAAACTTTCTGAACAAATTGAGATGGTTCGTATTACATATATTTTTAAGATAATAAACAGCTTTATAAATTAGAATTAGCACAAAACTTGGTTACAATACATTAATTTTATTATAATTTTAAAAATTAACATAGATAAATGTTAGGAAAAATGTATATTTTCACATATTCCTTTTCATTGAAATAAATGTATATGTTTGGGTCAAAGTTTAAAATTTTTTTTAAAGGCAAGCTAATTAAAATGGCTTAGATATCTCTTTGTTTATTATTAAAAAGAACCTTGAAAGCTTTGCTAATATAAATTCTAACATTTTTAGTTGTTTTAGCACATAATTTTACCTCATAAAATTTTGTCCGTTCTTATTATATATTATAAAGACGGTTGAAATATAAAATTCAACTCACATAAGTGACTATCAGTAGATATATATTTAAGAAGCTTTTATTTACAAACAAGAAATAATTTTCATTTTAGCCGCTTTATCAGTAACCGGTTTTACTGTGTGTCGGAATGGCATACCGGTTAATATTTGGAGATACAAGGCAGTACCGGTTCAAAATCTTCAGTCACAAATTCTTCAAAATAGAAACCGGTGATTCTTTTTAAAAAAAATCTGAAATTAGTGCTTTTGTTAAAATATTTTCTTTTTAAATTTTTAATTACAATTTTAGCACAAATTTCAAAACATGTAATATTTTTGGTAACGGAAAAAATATTTTGCTGTGTAAATGAGAATAAATCTTGTTAATAAAATTATAAAAATAGTACTGAGTAGTTTTAAAAACAAATTGAATGTGTTTTGAAACAATTATGATGGATAAAAAATTAATCTTTGAAAGTGATTATTAATTAAATATTAATTTTAATAAGCCAGTTCTTTTAGTTAAATAACATTTAGTAGAAATTTTTTAGAATGGAATAAGTAGTAAAAGCATGTTTTTCTGAACAAAATAAATAGTAAAAATTATACAAACGGTTAATAATAAGAAATATTTAGCATCCATCCTACACTGAGAAAAAAGCATAGTCAAAACTATCAGAATATGGTAAAATTTACAGTGTTTCTGGCTCATGGGAACACCAAAAAAGCTTGATAATTTTTACCGAAGCGCTTTGGTAATGATTTTGGAAATGTTGTTTGGTAAAATTAACAGTGAAATATGGTTTTATAATGTGCGATAAAATTTGGTAATTTTATCATTAAAACACTCATAAAAACATTTATTTAATTAAACTTTAAAAACATGTAATAAATGTTGTTTATAACATGTTTAAAAATGTTGTTAAAACATAAATAAACATATAATAAACTTTCAAAGTATAAAATAAATGATTTCAGTTTTGTATTTTCTGTTAAATATGTTGTATTAAGAACTATAATTTTGTAAACCAGAATTTCTGGTAAACTGCAACCACAGAACGGAATAATTACCAAATAAATGGTTTAAAAACCGTATATATATATATTTAGCCAGAACTAATGTTCTTTTTACCAAAAATGTTATTATCATGTAGAACGCTAATATTACCAGAATTTCTTTTCTCCGTACACCGTTTTCATTTTAAAAAACAGCTATTTTTTTCATTGTTTAAAATTTTTTAACATACAATGAAATTAAGATAAAAAATAAATTTGTTTTTTTCTTATTTCTTATAAACGAGAAGCGAACTATTCAAAACTTTCAAAAACTATTTTGCTTTATAGAATTAACTACATAAATGCTTTTGAACTACTAATATAAGATGCTTTAATAAAAATTAAATATATTTCCTGATCAATAACTTTTGAAAGCATAATATTAGGGGGATCGAAAAGTAATGCCGTTTCGACGCATTAAATATTCGTTAGTCTTAAAAACCAATTCATTTTTTTGATCCATTTCGATTCATTTTCGATCTTGCATTGAAAGGATATTGCTAACGAGGATGAATACATTATTGATTAAAAATAAAATCTTGATAACAAATATCAAATGAAACCGAACCGACATTACTTTCCGGTCTCCCCAGTATAAAATAGATACATATTTTTTGAAACAATAAACATAATTTTAAAAAAACAATAAATACAGATATTTTTTTGTAAGCGATAATATCATTTTTAAATACAATCAAAATTTAGTACTGAAATATGTATTTAAATTTTAGGAAACTCTGGTACTTAAAGCAAATAAAACTAAAGAAAACATATTTTAATTAACATAATATTTAAGAAACATTTAGTTTACCTTTTCTCTCTAAGTAGAAGGAAATTTGTTGTTCAACTGACATCTGTTCATAAATTTAGCAAAAAATGAAATCCCTTTTAAATATTTTCTTATTATTATCAGGATAATTTGAATCTTCAGGGTAATAATTATTTTAATAGTATAATCAGTATACTATTGTACTATTATAAATATCAGCATCACTAAAATCTGTAATACAAGTTTGTATGTAAAATGAAAAGGTTTGTATATAAAAGGAAAATTTTTACACATAAAACCAAAATGTTTGTATATAAAATGAAAATGTTTGTAAATGAAATGAAAATTTCCCTCATTTTATAGATGATGTTGAAACTTTTATGACTGTATAAAATTTTCAGAGACATTTTCAACAAATGCAATCAGTGCGATACGCAATATTAACAGTAAGTTTTTGAATTAAATTAAAAAAGAAGTTTCTTACAGTTTTCTACAAGTGAAGCAAATTTCAGCACATATTTGAAACGACAGATATTATATATCATTTCGGACTTCTGCTGTCAAATAAGTCTCCAAGAACCATAGTACTTGAGGAATATGACTATCAAATAATTCCTTAAAAATCACATCATATAACGACTGTCAAACAAATCTTTGAAAATAGAGTGTTTTTTGACACTACGACTATCAAATATTGTTCTTGAAAACAACAGTATTTTTGAAATATAGTTGTCAAATAAATCCTTGACATCTTTGACGATTGCTATCAAATTACCTCTTTAGAACCATTATTATTTGAACAATGACACTTGAATGATTTATTGAAAACCACAGTACTTTTGGACATTGGTTGTCAAATAAATCCTTGATAACCATAGAACTGTTAAACAATGGCTATCAATTTCTTCTTTAGAACCATTATTATTTGAACAATGGCACTTAAATGAATTTTTGAAAAGCATGGTATTTTAGAAAACGGTTGTCAAATAAATCCTTAAGAACCTCAGAATTTTTTAACAACGGATATCAAATTATAACTTCAGAACCATTATTCTTTGAAAAATTGCATTTAAATGATCTCTTGACAACCACAAACAGTGTGATTGACAAAAGCCATCAGAAAAGTTTTACCTTTACGTTTTCCATTATTTGGTTCCGTCACTCTTATATGAAGTTTGACGATTTCTTCTTCTATTGGCGAGCAAATGAGATCATCTCTTCTACAACAACCAGCATCATTATCACATCTATGGAGAACAACACAATGAGGGTTGTATAATCCATGTGATATTGGATACACGTCTCCCACGACAAAAAGCTTAGGTACTGGATCTTTGCAAACACGTTTCCTCATCATTTGTATGTGTTCTTGCAATTTTCGGGTAGAGTTAGTATAATGTGTTACGTCTTCTTTCAATGGGTAACTGTGACAGATGGTGACAGAAAGCACTATCGCCAAGAAAGAAGAATATAGAACAAAAAACATACTTCTGTTTGTGATGCTTGAGGCACTTCAAAAACGAAACTAATATCTTCCAACGAAAAAGTATTGGCACTTTTCTAGTAAGCTATTATTTATATCACAAAAATCCAGCTAGAAGAAATATATATCACACTTTTAATGTGAGATGTAATCCAATAAAGATTTTTTTCCGTTTCCAAATAACGTCGTGTGTGCCGAACTGGAGTAAATATTGACCTCACTTCTACAATAATATCAAATAAAAATCTCTTCACGTTTCCAAATAACGTTGTGGATGGCAAATGGAACAATATTGTCTTGAATTTAAGGAAACAATATTGAAACAATGTTGCTTATTATAATAATATCCAAGAAAAGTTTTTTCTAAATAACGTCGTGGATGAAGAAATGGATCAATATTGTCTTCGATAATAATATCCAATAAAAATGTCTTCACGTTTTCAAATAGCGTTGCGGATTCCAAAGAGAACAAAATTGTCTTGTATAATAATAGAACAATATTTAAATAACGTTGTTTTCTATAATAATATCCAATAAAAATGTCTTCACGTTTCCAAACAACGTTGTGGAAGCCAAATGGAAAGAATGTTCTTTATAATAATATACTAATATTTGAACACTATTATCTTCTAAAATAATATCCAACAAAAGCGTCCAAATAGCGTTGATCAGGAACTATAATTTTTCGTTTAAATCAATATCAGTAATCCAATACGAAGTATTTTACGTTGCGAAAAGGTGATGAGCAAATTCACACAAAATTAATAAACCCGGAACGATAGATAAATAAATTACTCTGTTTAGTTCAATAACCAAACAATACATATATCATTAGTATGTTCAAAACGTTCAATGAAATCCTTGAACGTAATGACGTGATATAACGAGTCCATAATTAGAATGATATGAATCAAGTTATGAGAGACGAGTTTTTATACGAGTAATCTTTAAAATCTGGGAATTCCTAGCCTCTTCGTTTCTGTAAGCGGAAGATAGTTTGTCGTCATGATGTATTAGTTGGATAGTAAGCGTATGTGGTTTCCGACTTTCAACTTGGGTTACCTGATTCATTCTGGCAAACTGTCGCCAAGTTTGTCTGCTCAAGAACGCGGTTTTTTTTTTTCTATCGCTCTTGAAAGTAAACATTAACTTTACCGCTTGAAGTGTTATTGTTTTTTTTTTGTTACACTTTTAGTTTTTTTTCCATACAGATCATGAGAAACTCTGAATATCTAGATGAGATGTTTTTTGAATTTTATTTAGTTTTGAGTATTTTTATTGATTAGTATGATTATTAATATTTTATACATTGTTAATTATAATTATTTCTAATTATAATTCTAATAATTAATTATATTCTAAATAGTTAATTATAATTATTCCTAATTATAATTCTAATTATAATTCTAATAACTAATTATATTCTAAATAGTTAATTATAATTATTTCTAATTCTAATTCTAATAATTAATTATATTCTAAATAGTTAATTATAATTATTTCTAATTATAATTCTAGTAATTAATTATATTCTAAATAGTTAATTATAATTTTAAATTTGTTAATTATAATTCAGTTCTTTAAAATTTTTAAATACGATTAATCTCCGCTAAGAAAGGCTTTTTTTCAATTAATTTTGTCGTTGTTGTGTAATTAAAGATAAATTTGATTTTGATTTTTTTAAAAAAATTCCTGCGAATATGTAATTTTGCTAATTCTTGAAAAATGTTTTTAGAATTGCGAGATTTTTAAAACAATTTGTTTGTTTGCTTCCGGACAATGCTCAAAATAAAATAATAAATTAAAAAAAAGTTAATTGATAAAATAAATAAATAAGTAAGCAAGCAAATGAAATAACAAATAAATAAATGAACAAAAATTAATTGATAAAGTAATTAAATAAGTACATAAACAAATGAAATAATAGAATTAATTGATAAAATAATTAAATAAGTACATAAACAAATGAAATAATAGAATTAATTAATAAAGCAAAATAAAATGAGAAAAAAAATATTTTGGGATCATTGTTTAGACAGAGGAAAAAATTCTCATAAAATTACCGTGTAGTAATTACATTTTTGGTAAAAACAAACAAGCAAAATTCTTGTTAATGAAACCAAAATATACGGTATTTAAATCATTCATTTTGTAATTTTTTCATTAATATGGTAACAGTTTATCGGAATTTCTGTTTTTCGAAACAATAGTTCTCATTACCACACATTTAGTAAAAAATACAAAGCTGAAAAGTAAATATAACTAAATAAATGGATTTTACTCTTTGCTCTAAGGTATCATGACAAAATTATCAAATTTTAACACATTATCAATTTTTATCACATGTAATAAAAATTATATGTTATTGTTAATTTTATCAAAAACATTACCGAAGTGCTTCGATAATAATTACCGAAATTTTAAGTGTTCATACAGAGCCAGAAACACAGTAAATTTTACCATATTCTTAAAGTTTTGTATATTGTTTGTTTCTCAGTATACCTTTATAGCCTTATTAGTCTTGTAGGCAAAAAGTGTTTGAACTAACATAAGAAGGAAAAAAAAAGTATTTACTTTTAAACGTTAACAACTATTTTGCGCCGGGATAGCCTGGTTAGCAGAGCGCTGGCCTCGCGTTTGTGAGAACGGGATTTCAAATCCAGCTGGCCGGAAACTCCCTGTGTAGTAAATGGTGACTGGTGTACGATAAACCTGTTGGGTCACAAAGTCCTACATGTTTCCATAACAAATTATACCTCTTAGGTATTGAATTAGAGATTGATCGTTTTCTGGTTCAGGTCAAAATTACGATCTGTGGATGATTGAATGGATCTATGAATGGGTCCACCCTATTAACGAGTGTGGCGGAAGTCAAATTCTTGGAAATAAATGGCGCCACTGGAAAACACTAACAATCGCACCCTTTCTGCCTTAATGGCCAACGACGACAACAGCAACAACAACGACAAAAAATAATTTTGATAAGAGAAACTGAAGAAAATTGCGGAAGTGAAAATGAAGCAAAAAATTGCCTGAAATCTCCTGAATGCTCGTATATATTTAAAAAACCAAAAGAAACAATGGGTTTTAGATTTTTATTTACTTATGTTTGCTCTTAAAAGATGGACAACAAATGCAGTAGAAAACAGTTATAAATCAAAGTTATACTTCCAATGATTTCCCCATTTACAAATTTACTCTGAAATGACATCAGGATTCTCATACAGGCGAATCATGTTTTCTCTGTATCGAATGAATCATTTCTTGTTCATGCGTTCATTATTCAGTTTCGATCCCAAAGCAGTATAAACGCTTTATTAAAAAAAGTGCTTTTTTTTCAAATGACATCCAAAACAATTAAAAAACCGTTTTTCCTAAAATTTTCTACAACATTTTTTCAGGAAAAAATCTTAATTAGTAACTTTTTTTCCACAATTAAATATTTGCACGGTGCTTCATAAATCCCACTCTTAATATAAGTTTTTTTAAATCCTTTCCAAAAAGGAATAAAAAAACTCACACATTAAGGGTCAAATACTTATATTTAAACAAAGATAAATGCAGAAATGCCAGAAAATTCAACGAATCACTTTTGAGGAAGATGGGAGATGATATCAAAACCTGTTTGATTGCTGGATGAAACTAAGAGGATGTAAAATGCAATTATTAGAAACAGTTTCTACTTTTACTCAGCAATTTCATCTCCATAGTGTTTTTTTTTCAGATTTTGATAACACTTTCACATGTTCTTTGAATAACTAATAATTTTTGTTACTCATGTGTAGATTGGCTTTCTTTTTGGCAAAGATTCTAAAAATATATATTAAGTATGGTGATAACTGAATAACTCCTGGAATGTAGGTAATAATAGTATTTACGCTTTTGTGAGATTTTTTTACTTAGATATATGTAATATTTCATTACAATAACAAATCGAGTAAATCCTTCAAAAAATATGCACTCTTATAAATTTGAATTTTGATATATAAGTTTTAATTGTTCTTCTATTTACCAAGTACAATGAATTGGACGAGAAATTTTTTAACGAAAATATCATGCATTGTATGTAGTGAAATGAAATATATAGTTTTTATTTTCCTGCTTAAAAAAACAACAGCACAAAAATTGTTTTTGCTTAATTGCTTCCAACTAATTTGTTACTTTCTCATCAAAACTGAAATATTTTTGAACTAACTGAAAATTACAGAACTATTATAAACTGAAAATTACAGAACTATAGTAACTTTTCAGGTAAAAAATTCCCGGAAATTCTGGTAATAGAAACCAGTATTTAAACCATTCATTTGGTAATTTTTTCTTTCACAATAGTAGAGGTTTGCTGGAAATTCTGGTTTTTAAAATTATAGTTCCTATTTTCACACATTTAGTAAAAAACACAAAATTAAAATTAAATTTAATCGAATAAATTATTTTTTTGCCATGCTCTTCTAAAGTATCATGATAAAATTGCAAAATTTTACCACATTTACCAAATTTTATTAAGTACTATAAAATCATATTTTATTGCTAATTTAAAAAAAGATTCATTATCAAAGCGGTAAAAAGTAACGAGCTTTCTGGTTTTTTCATTGAGACAGATACATGATAAATTTTATTATATTCTGGTAGTTTTAACTATATGTTTTTAGAATGCTATTATTACAAAAAGTGAAATCTTTATTTTCATATTTTTCACGTCCTTAATTACAACACGAAATATTTCATAAATTCATATTTCGTGAAATATTTAATAAATATTCTCTGTATTGCAAAATTTATGTTAATATAAACTTTAAAAATTCTTTTTTTTTTCGTATAAAATGAAAATGAAAGTAATAAATATGAAAACGAAAGTACAAAAATTAAAACTAAAAAAATAAAAACTAAAAAATATAACTTTTCATAAAATAAACTTTTTTGTGTAAAATGAAAATGTTTTAAACAATTTAATGGTTTTATTTGTTTT